TCGAATCCGGTTCAGTCTCCTGTTAACAATGAGTAGCGTAGAGGACGGTCATCATCGGTTCATCCATCACAAAAGTGTTATGGATGAACCGATGGTGACCATCCTCTACACTGATGACATCGCTAGCACAGAGCAAAGAACAACTTCAGGTTGAGCTGCAGAAGTGAAAGATGATGCTTTCAGAGAACGGGCTTCTGCTGGACGTGAAAGAAGCCAGGCCACTCTGATGAGAAGCAGCTTCCCCCGCCGAAGTGAGGATGCTTAGATAGGCATGCGGTTGGACGTGAAGGACCGAACAAGGAACCAAGACACTAGGGTAGACACGCAGATAACCCAGTCCAACGGAACAAGGAATCAAGACACTAGGGTAGACACGCAGATAACCCAGTCCAACGAAGATGGGAGAGCGGCGCTTGCGATGGTACGGAAACGTGCTGAGAAGGCAGCAGATTCACCCGACAAGGAAGGCAGTGGAATTCGAAGCTCGAGTTCAGCCTCCCTAAGACCAGGAGGTGACGAGACGTGGTAAAGAGGGACCTACCGAGGCTAAAGTATCGCCAGGAGATACACTATATAGGTTTCAATTGAAGCAGTTGACGAGAATAGCAGACCTTGTGACAGTGCGGGATCAACGTTGTTAAGAATAAAAATTGGATAAGAGTATGCATGAAAGTAAGAGCAAGAATAAGAATAAGAATAAGATTACGATCAATAGCTATAAAGGGAATGAATGATTTGCTTAGTGTCGCTCGAGCGAGGAGTTTCTACTAGTTTATACTACCTCGCGAAAGGAACGAATGGAAGTTGTGCTGGCATCGATGATCAACGGGATGTCAGGTTATATGTAGACTACTTGACTTATACAATAAAGCGGTCAAATCGCTGGGTTGCCCTCTACCTCCTTACAGAAGCAAGATGCAGACTCAAAATTCTATTTATCTTTTTGGGATAGGTAATTGATCTCTGTCCTCAATTTTCCGATGGGAAATCCCCTTGAAACGAGCACTACAAGTTCCGCATGGTTTGCATACATATATCATTCATGCTTGGAAACCTTCGCCTATTCCATTTGATCTCAACAGTAACCATTCTTAAGGAACTGTACCCTTCCCCTCACCGGCTTTACTGATGCACTGTTTTTCTGCAACTGAGGAACCTTGACTGGTTATGAATGGTATTTACTGATATTGATAAGTGATGATAAAAACACTATCGGAAGCATCCTCAACTTTATGTGTTCAAGCCATTGACCAAAACTCCCGGATTATTTGTGGTGTGATAGGTTTTGTGGTTACTGATATTCGGATAAAGACGGAGCGGGGTCTCCTACTGAAAAGCAAACATTGAGGCGTATCGTCTTAATCTAATAGCACCTAATAAGGACTGAAACCAACTCCTTCCTTTCATATTCATAGAACTTGATCTTTGATCTTTATTACTATATTTATTACTCGCATTTAATCAACCTACTCTATCAATTCGTCTCATCCTGTGGAACATAGAAAGTGACTCGTATCAAAGGGTTATATGCCAAATGGCCTGAAGACTGAAAACCATTCAGGATTCACCAATCAGGCATGACAAGTTGCTATCGCCTACTGTGACATCTACCACCACACCTACACCTACCGGTATCGGTGACCAAATCACATTGTATGTAACACGTGAAGTAGCAATACTTCATTGAATTGCGAAAAAAGTATTAATTGACCCCCAGTTATCAGCGCTTATCAGTTGTTACTAATCTTTCGCACCAACCATCCGTGTTTCCGATATTAATCGTCAAGGTGTTATCACGCGCTAAGGTGTCGATCCTACATCACACGCCAAAGTCTCAAAGTTACACTATTATTCCGAAGGAAGCCACCCCCGTAAAATTATGATTTTTACCTTCTACAGTTTGTTATTACCCCTCATCAGCTGTATCAGTACCTGTCATCCGCCGTCCAAGGTCCAGCGTTTCACCGTCAACCCGAACGGCGTCACTAATGCAATGGCTCTTACCCTTTATGGTCATTGATCACACCTTATCATTTGTTATGAGTCTGTGCAATAAAGCACTCATGATCCCGTCACATCCCCCATCATCCGCCCATGTGTCGGTTACACTGTTCACAGGGAAGGCGTAATCATCCCAGTGAGACTTACCTGCTGTGGCTGCATATCAGTCTCTAGCAGTTGTTATCAGTTTTTGTTATTAACCATTCATCCCAAATTACCTACTGGAGTGCCGGGTTCTACTTTTAACATGCTAGGCGTGACTGTTTTGCTGCTCTTGCCTTCTAAGGGTCCTTGACGGTCCCTAACACTCCCTATGTTATCACTCCCTAGCACCTATCATCAGCGCTCCCTTCTTGCCACTTGCATTCTTTCTAAATTTAAACGCCCTAGGTAGTGG